AAATAATTTTCAACAATAATTAATTATATTAACAAGGGCAGATGGGTCTAAGGCACACAAACTGCGCAAAAAATTGAGTTGACACTCAAACCAAACCGAAGCTCCGGGCGTCAGCAGGCAACACGCGCCATAAAAGGAAGAGGAAGGGAGATCACTCCGTGGCTCTGTCATCGAGATATGGGTTACGTCACGGTAGGGAGGTAGGGATATTTGAATCTTTTGTTTTTGGGCTACAAAGATAGGTGTAGGTATTGTATATGCATACTAAAGTTATGGTAATTATTACTGAAATGAAAAGCTCTGTTTAGACATTGTTGTATGTTTTTGTTAAATGATACCATGCTGCGATTTTTCCAAATTTTCCCTTAACGCAACACCGATATAAATCAATAATTGCAATTTAATTACCTGAAAAGGCCCCTGCGCCTATGCTACTCACTCCAACAAGCGTCATCAGGATTCCAATGGCCACGGGATAATTCTCTAGTCCAACTAATTCCATTGTCGTTAGTGACAAACAGGTCTCATTGCTTCCAATCGCCATCCCAAAGGAGCACATTAGAAACACATGTTGGTAGTGCGTTGTAGCTTCAAGAAGCCCGATGCTTGCTAAACAACTCAGACTTGTGAAGATCGCGGATATGACAAGAACGTCCATGTGTGGTATGAATATACAAATGCCAGGTACCAATCTACTTACAGTATTTGACACATTCATATACAAATACAGTAACAATGCGTCTTGTTCATCAAAGTTTTTAGTCTTAAGAAATTCCACCATAAAAATCAATGCAGAACCAAAACCAGCAAGTGTCAAAGAAGTCCCAATTACGAAAATGATAAAGATGTAGTTCTTGATAATGGATTTTAGCTGAACAGTTCCCGTGTTTAGTTTCTTGTGTCATTCAAAGACACATGTGTTAGTGATCGTGTCTCTGTTATCCTTTTTGTTAACTTGTTTATGAATCGGTGATGATTCGAATTTGCAAATTTCAACCTTGGGTTGTTTCACACCCACTATTTTAGGTTTGCAAATAGCAAAATAGCATGTCATGTTTCCCATTAGTCCTCCCATTATAAGAAGACACCCTTGCCATCCAAACCTGTCAATCAGCGAGTTCAGCATAAAAGGGATTAGCATTGCTCCACAACCGGATCCGGTACCAATAAATGCTATTGCAGCAAGTTTTGCTTTTCCGTTGAAGTATTCGCCAACAGATGTCAAAGACGATACGAACGCTAGGGAAAATCCGAACCCTGTTAACGACAGAAATAGGATCATGACACATGTTGGTATTGAATAATAGTAATGATTTGGTATGATCTGCCGCCAAGTGGACTTTGACCAGTTGTTGGATTGAATAACAGTGGAATTGAATAAATTAGAAAACAAATTGAGGTAGAATGAACTTAATTGAAAGTGTGAAAACTAGTGGTGTTTAACTACGAATATCACCACAAATGAAAATAAACCGATATCTCTATATGATCACGATGCAAGGTTCAATGAGCAATGGCACTATGGTAATTCAGAGGAAGCACTTACCCTAAACCAATTTGGACTTTTGACTTGCGTACTTATAAATGCTATTTATTCAAATGAGAGAAATGCAATACCAGAGAGCTATACCAAATATCAAAGTTAAACAAATTCAAATTAAGTTTATATCCATTCATCTAAGCAGTCTTTCTGTAGAAATAAAGATTGTAAAGCAAATTTATAAGCAAAATAATATAATTATTTCTATCCAAAAAAACACTGATTTAAAAACGTCTCGTTTATCTAAATTTAAAGATTTATTTCCGTTTAATTTCACGATATCAAGATGAAATCTTCACTGTAATTAGCCTTCGACTACCAGTTGGCCAGTTGTGTGAGTAATATCCGGTTTCCTGTAAGGTAATTATTTATTTCTATGTTATATGATGCGAATTGTAAATGTTCATGTATCTGTCCTGATAAAGGGGCGGTTGACCTCGACAATTTGAAATCAATTCCATTGGCTGCACTGATGCTATTATTATACAGGCTTACATAAGAAACTTTAGGCTATTTAAAATATGGCATGTTGTTACGGCATCCGGGTGAGAAATCGTGTCGGGGTGAGAAATGGTGCCGTAAAGTACGGTGGCTGATATGTGCCATCTCGTTGTTTCGTCTTTTCGCCCCGAAAGGACGACAATTAACAAATCTTAATTCTCGTTGTGTCGTCCCTTCGCCCCGAAAAGACGACATTTAGTAGTTATCCTTAAATCTCGTTTCTTCGTCTTTTCGCCCCGAAAAGACGAAAAGACGACAAGTCAAATGCGAAAAGACGAGAAAAAGGCACGCTAATTAGCGACTTCTTAGTGTCGTCTTTTCGGGGTAGAAATATCGTCCTTTCGTTGTTTTGTCTTTTCGCCCCGACAGGACGACAATTAACAAACCTTAATTCTCATTGTGTCGTTCCTTCGCCCCGACAGGACGACAATTAACAACCCTTAATTCTCGTTGTGTCGTTCATTCGCCCCGACAGGACGCCAATTAACAAACCTTAATTCTCGTAGTATCGTTCCTTCGCCCCGACAGGACGCCAATTAACAAACCTTAATTCTCGTAGTATCGTTCCTTCGCCCCGACAGGACGACAATTAACAAACCTTAATTCTCGTTGTATCGTCCCTTGGCAATACCCAACCCTAATTATAGGGGTATAATTATTTTTTGACTAAAAAATAATCAAGATGGATATCAAGTCGTCATCTTAGATTTTGACAGTTCAAAAACATTATCACAATTTCCCATGAAACAATTTACCTTTCCCTACTCATAGCAGGTTATATAATATTTCTTAAATTGCAGCATAAAACGTCTAACGATTTGCCATTCCTCGGTGCAAAAAAAACCCAAACAATCTTAGATATAGATTCGAAAAAGTGTCCGATGGACATCTTTAGTCTTGAGTATCGTTGATGCCGTTTTGTATGTGAGTACCTTAAAAGATGCCCTGTTGTGGCATATATGTAGGTGTGAAAAAGCGGCATAACCGGTAATGTCGGTTAATTTTTACTGGCAAACTAGCCCAACATAAATAAGGTCAGTCCAAGTAACCAACTTCATGCTGGTTACCGGAAGACAACACAACGAGAATTAAGGTTTGTGAATTGTCGCCCTGTCGGGGCGAAGGGACGATACAACGAGAATTAAGGTTTGTTAATTGTCGTCCTGTCGGGGCGAAAAGACGAAACACCGAAAAGACGATTTTTCTACCCCGAAAAGACGACACTAAGAAGTCGCTAATTAGCGTGCCTTTTTCTCGTCTTTTCGCATGTGACGTGTCGTCTTCGGGGCGAAAAGACGAAGAAACGAGATTTAAGGATAACTACTAATTGTCGTCTTTTCGCCGAAAAGACGACACAACGAGAATTAAGATTTGTTAATTGTGGTCCTTTCGGGGCGAAAAGACGAAACAACGAGATGGCACATATCAGCCACCGTAGTAACGCATGTTGTTAACATCTAAAATATATAAGGACGTTTTTGCTTGTGATATTGTTCCATGGTATATGTTTGAGCTTAGTCAAACATACCATTGTGTTCAATTTTCGAGCAGAATGATCCGACGTTTGATGACTCAAGTGGCTCAGGAAGGCTGCGACAATAGTTTCAATGGTCTCCACGACAGTGGCAACAAGTTCTATTCAGGAAGGGGCCCTATATTTACTCTATCGCTCAGATCGCACAACGCGAATGATGGTAGGCGGGGTGAACGTCTTGATGTGTGATGAAATATTTGCTATGGGTTAGATTTTTGCACAATTAATGCATACTAGCTTCTTCTCAGTTCGTATCAGATCCTTGTCTATTCAAGTTGAATGGTGAAAACTAATATCCTGCTGCTCATAATACAACTAGAATATTTCCCGGGGATTGTATACAGTGAAGGTTTTACCTAGTATATCTGCTATACTGTCTAACAAATGAAAATTTAGTTCAAATGTGACATAATACTCTATGACCCTTAGTGCATTAAAACAATACATAAATCAATATAATGTATTAAAAAATACAGAGCAAGGTCACCGCAATTCATACAAGAAGTATTCCTCTTGAGCAATATTTAAACTATGTAGAAAGATTCCAAACATGTTATGTGTTTTTGTCAAAATGGGGCGTTTATGAATGTATACGTTAATGTATCCCTTTATATATCAGATGAATTAAGGTTAAAATTGATACCCCACCTTATTTATTTTTTTAAATATGTTGTATAGAGACGCAATTTTTATCAATGTCGTTATAATGAACTGTTAGTACACACGGTGACAATGCTGGTTTACTGACCTGAAACAACCCCTACGGAGACGATGAGATAAGGTATACTAGTGGCGAAGAAGGAAGAGGCAAGTCCGAGAAAAGCCAGCAGTCCTCCACACATGCCCATCCTTCTTACTCCATACCTGTTAACACACTGTCCGCAAATAAAACCTAAACAATAAAAATATAGATTGATATTAGGTTGAAAAAAAATGTTGAAAATATTTTATTTGGCTATTGACCAATTCGTATTCTGTTCATACAATTATCAAACATGGCTTCCTACTACGTTTTAAGAACTGAATTGAATTATCTTGGCTCACCATGATGTAAAATTTCTTAATTTACGTTTAAATAATAACGATTTTAATAATGAAATTTAGAACTTTTTCTAAATAATATCAAAGTATATAAACTTTTTATAATAATAATTATAAGTGGCATACATTATAGACTAATATTCTGTTAATGGAAAATTCTGAATCCGTCCTTTGTATAGGTTTATTTTATGTATTTAGATAGATACAGAGAAATTTTGCTAAACATACAAATATGTTAATGGTCAATTGATTCAACCTACGGGTTTACACGTCGCTGTTGATTCTGTGGTCAAGATATCGTTCCGAATAATAATATTTCCGTAGTGTATTTAAATACCAAATCTGTCTCCTTGAATCTACTTAAGTATCTTTTAATGTACAGACCCGTACATGTTCGCTGTTCCATCTGGGACGCAAAAGGTACGGAAGTGCTACGCAAATGGTACGCAAGTGCTACGCAAACGGTACGGAAACGGTACGCAAGTGCTACGCAAACGGTACGCAAGTGTTACGCAAACGGTACGCAAGTGCTACGGATGACGCTTACAAACGGTGATTCGATTGTGGTGACAAGAACGGGTTTACATAAAAAGCGGAAGCATACAGAGTATCTAAAACGAAACGAATTTACCCACAATGCATAGGAAGAAACGTCTGTAAACTGTAGACTACGAGGAGGCACATAAGAATGTTGTAAATTTTGCCATTTCGTTTGCATAATGGATGAGTGTGAAACAACCAGAAATGTCTTGTGATTTATAAAGATAAAGGTCGATCAAATATTGGTAAATGTAATGCATCCATCACAAAAACCTGATGTACGCTAACAGATCAACGCGACACACAGTTATTATAAGTTATGGTCAGAAGTAATTCCACCTGCTTACCGAATAAAAGACTAATTCATATTGACAGTAAGTAAACTGGTTACGTTTACTTTACGAGAAACGTAATAATTGATAAGCCTAATAATACAAAAAAAAACCGAAATAATTTCAGACTCCGGTGTTAAGGATCCAGCACCTCTATTTCTATTTTGTATATCGTCTTTAATACTTCCATACACTTTTAGACTTTTCGTAGGATTTGGGGACCGATAACGTGCTTAATTATTAGTACAAGCAAATGCATGCATCGAAGATTTGAAACGTATACATGTAATACCATGTCTATTCATTAAATTTCATTCACAGATAAACAGTGTTTTTTGATATGCAACTTTTATTTTATCATGAAAATGTAAAATTGTACATGTATATTGTTATGGGGGTTATTATAAATGATTGAGTGCTTGATTATGTAACAACAATTAAATACGAAGTTAATTTAATTACATTTATGATGTGGGTTCAGATTTTATTTAGAATTATTTTTATATGGGGATGTACTTTTACGACGCTTAATCAGACCGGTTTACCATTGCCGATGTAGGGATACACATCACGTGACCAACAATAGCGTCATATCAGCATTTTTTTCTCGAGGCCAAAGGTAAGACGCACATTTCAGCTTTTGTTTACAAAGTTATACTTCAGTGATCTTGTTTCCATTCCGGTTCACACTGCTTGTTATGGCTGTTAAGTTGTCAGTTCTTGGGTATGTTACGTTAGGAGGTTGATGGAAGAAGTGAACAAGCCTTCTAATCATTGGAAAATTTGAACCTGCAAGAGTCCGAGGTTATTGTTGTCTTTCTTGGTAGAGGTGGTGGGACTGTTGACTTTGACGTCCCGGGAGTTTTCCATTTACTTGATTGATAAACAGTCTGATGTAGTGGTATTACAGATCGGGGAGAATGGCGTCAATCGGCAGTAGTCTGACTCTGTCAAGATTGCTGGGAGTATTTTGACAATAACTGAGTGGATGTTGTGCGGTTTCGGGGTCAAACAAGTGTGTATTATGCAAATTCTTGTTCGGCGGGACACTAGGAACATTCCAGTGGATGTGTATAAGGACAGGGTGCGTGCAGTTAATCAGGAGTTGAAGGCCATGGTGGCTGACTGTAGCGATATTCAGTATCACAAACACAGGGGTCTTAAGAATTGTTTTGTTGACATTTTCCGATCAGACGGGGTTCATCTCAATAGGAGGTATGGAATCCCTAAGTATGTCTGTAGTGTGCGGGGTGCAGCGATCAATACATACAGGAAACTCAGGGTTTAACCTAGAAAGTATAGACAGTAACACGGGGCTGAACAATGTTGGTTTCAATTTATCCTGTGTGTCAGTACCCTCAGTATATGATAGCCTGTATATGTGTACGGTAGATATTTATAGCCTGTCATGGCGGTATGCAGTCAATTTGATTTGATTTGATTTCATTTCAGAAAATTGTATTGTACTGATCTTATTTACAAAAGGATTTGGGCAACAGACATAGCCTATATAAGCCCTCTCTTTACAAAACATAACAGTATATACATATCATATAAATGTTACTTTTACAGATGTTTCTTTAAGTATTAAAATAAGAGATTATTTGTACTTTGAATTTGATTTGACAATACGTATTTCAAATATCGCAATTGTTGTAATAGAGATTATTTTACAAAGCTATTTGAGAATCTAATAAAAACGTCTGGTGTCTCTAATGTAATTCTGAACCGTCTCCACAATATCTATATTCATATTTACGTCTCGTGATTGGAAACCATAAATAAAAGTTTGAGTATTGAGTCGAATAGCATCACTCATCGCTGACAGAGAGTTAAGTAATATTAGTCTATGGTTAGTATAAAAAGGACAGTGCAGGACAAAAATGATCACGATCTTCGAAGGGGGATACACAAATATACAAGCAGGGCTATCATTTAGATATGCATTAAATAAATCTGAATTTAAATTACTTGCAGAAATTCTTAACTGACATAATGTTATGTTAATTTTTCTATCACCCTGATATTTACAAATGTTGCTACATATTGGGTGAACATTCCCTTTTCAGAGCTGCAAGAGATGTCATAGTGGGATACAGACAGACTGGATTGTTCCATTTTGACATAAGTTTTGGAAAAGAAATAGAGTTATACATGCGTTCTTGGTACTGGAACGTCAAATAACTTATTGTGTCGAAAGTTGTAATATTCAATGTTATTAAAAAAGGCAGTATCAAGTCTGAGACATGAAATGAGCAATTGTTATTAAAGAATTCAAATAATGCAATATTTTGATGTAAATGTCTTTTTTCACTAAGTGCAACAAAGACAGTCTCTCTATATAAAATGTTATGGCTCGAAACCAGAAATAATGCGTTATGCTTCAAGTTGGATTGACTCTAAGACGTTGCACTCTCTCTGGGAACAGGTAGCCCATACAATATCAGCATATTCGAGGATTGGACGAACATATGATATATATATTGTCTCAAGAGATTTTCTATCAATCTTAAATTTTAACATTCTAAGTATATTCAGTCTCTTATATGCTTTTTCATGAATATAATTTATATGAGTTGACCAGTTGGCATTGCCATTGAAAATAAGACCAAGGTGGTTATGATCAATAACGTTATTAATAACTGCATTATTAAAAAATAGGTTAGGATGCAACGTCTCAGAGTCGACCCGCCTTGAGAAAAGTAGAGCCTCCGTTTCATCCGATTGAAGAGAATATCCCATTTACCAGCCCAGACAGAAATTTTAGTAAATCTTCATTTAGTATGTCAGCAGCTTCCTGTCTGTTTCCCTCTATCAATGCATATAAAGATGTGTCGTCAGCGAAAAGCTTGCCATTAGAGATCCTCCGATATCATTTATGTTCAGTAAAAATAAATATGACCCAAAAACTGACCCCTGTGGTACCCCCGCCTTTAACGTTTTCCAGTTAGATTTAGATTCATCAAAGACCATCCTCTGTCTCCTATCAATTAAATACGAAGAAAACCATTTCAAAATATTACCGCAAAACACATATTGTTTTAATTTGAAAATTAAACCATGTCAGACCCTGTCGAAAGCTTTGCTGATGTCACAAAATAATTCTAGCTTCTTTACCTTTATCCAAGTGCTTTACAAATGCATCATTTATAACTAATATTTAGTAGACAGTTGAATCTTTAGGTAGAAACCCTGATTGATTCTTAGAAACAATACGATATTTTATATGTTTAATAATATATATAATTAAACATATGTTTAAAAGCAATTTTTTCAAGAAGTTTACTAAAAATAGGAGTAACAGAGATTGGTCTATAATTAGATGGGTTACTTCTTGCACCCCTGCACTTGTACACGGGTGTTACATGAGCATTTTTCCATGCAGAAGGGAGAATACCGGAGGAAATTGATTTATTAAAGATTAGTAATAGAGGTCTTACTAGAGATTGAGATACCCCTTTGATAAATTTTGGAGGGATGGAATCAGGGCCTTGGGGTTTATTAATATTGAGTTGGTGAAACTGGTCAATAATGTCCTTTTCTGTAATGTCAAATGTCGAGAAGCTGTGCTCTGGCTGGTTACAGTCGGTGGGTAAACCATTAGCAGTCTTTTCGGTTTCAGATATGGATGAAAAATAATCATTAAAAGATTCAGCTTTGTCGACGGGATGAATTTTGAGTATGCCATACATAACCAAAGGAGAGTCAATTTCACATTTATTTTTAAGATTTATAACAGATTTTGCAACACGCCACCATTTCCCCAGGGGTATGGATTTGTCTATTAGAGAAGATTGTAATTTTAAAAGATATTTTTCTTTGGCCTCACGTATTAATAAAATTACTTCATTCCGAATGGTTTTTAATTTGTTCCAGGAGGCTTGAGTATTGTATAATTTGGATTTAGAATGCTGACGATTTCTTTGTCTTGTTTTTATTCTTATGTCTTTAGTCATCTAAATTTTATCGTTAGGTCTAA